TTACCCCCACCGACGCAGCCCCAAACAGTTTCTTTAGAAACTATCAGCCTTTATTCTCTGTATGTGCCCACCAGCTATGGAACTGTCTTTCCAGTTATATTACGGTGGCTGAACACAGTTTTTTCATGTGCTTTAGCTGATGCAATTCAGCACACGCACAGGGATTGCAAAAAACAAACATACCATCAATAGAGCAGTCATTTCATTTAATCAACATGTACCTGCACTATCTGTGCTATTTTTCTCTATAGTTGGCACAGTGTATTGAAGGCTTTAATCTTTTATTACAAAGATATGTTAGAAAAGTTAATGGTGCAAAGAACCAAGCAATTCTCAGCTTTTTCGTCATTACCAAAAGAACCCAGTTAAATGCAGCGCATGCGTAGTAAGTCAAAAAATTGTGATTGAAAGGGAAATTGCTTTCTCAGAAATATGCCTATTTCTTGAGAACCACTCATTAGAATTTCACGAAATTTGGCACGAAAATACTTTAGGAAATTAGTAACTGGAGTATTTAAAAAAAAATTGATTTTAAACAAAAGAAATTCTAGAAAATCGAGTGAACCTTCGACAAGGGATAATTAAAGATCTCTCTGTTAAATTGTCAGCAAAATGGTGTTAACTTGTGAGTATCATTACAAGCTCGTTGCATGCAAATTATTATAAAGAAAATCTAATGATTATATTTTCTACAAAGAAACAGAACCCATTTTAATTGCCTGGTTATATCTATTCATGTTGCCATAGCAATGGCACATACATCAGCTTCACTATCAAAAACACAAAGTTTGTGTTGTTAACTTGCTTGCTACCAGTTTTGGGGACCGAGAGATTAAGGGTTTTAGAGAAAATGGTGAAAGAAACAAAGGTATCAAAAACTGTGTTCAGCCACCTTAAGCTTAGATCCAGTGTTAGTAACTTTAAGTCATCTCTGAAAACTTTTCTTTATGAAGGATATTTTATATCTTCATTTAAGTTTTCTTTTATTTTTATTACTGTGAAGCCCTTTAGGACCTTTGTATGAAGTGATATAATAATTGGTTTACTTACCCATTAAAAGTAATGCCCTTAACAATGGTAAACATTTAAGTTTGGCAATTTCCTTCATGTCTGTGACATTATTACCCCTGAAGAAGAGAAAAGGAACATCTAATGTTTGATCTTTTGGTGGACTCCAGTGAAGTTTAGAGCACATATTATTATAAGTTTTAAGAGGGTTTCATTGAAAAGTTTATAATTTACAAGAAAAATGTTGAAACTTTTTATGGATTGATAACAGTTGTGATTCTGATCTTGAAAAACTCTTGTAACTGTATCACTTTCTCTACAGTCAGGTATTACTAACAAAAAATCCTAAGATGCATTTATTTTTTCCTCTCATTGCTATTACAACCATGCATGTCATGTATGCTGACATAAGGAGAAGTGTAAAAGTACAGTATACACCATGCTATGTCCCAAAATCTATCTTCTATGAAATATTTCCTACATAACTATATCACCAAAATGGCCTGCTAAGTGAAGAAATTAATCTAATTTGTAAAGGAGCTTTCAGGTGTCAAGAAAGGAATTCCATGGCATTATTAACAACAACATTTAAATCATGTTAATTTTTTTCTCTGAAGTGTTCTTCAAGTACATGAAAGAGATTCATTGTTACCTCAAATTCAGGTACTGAAGGTTTTTCATGTTTTCTGAAAAGCCATCCAAATTCTCAATCTGATTGTCACGGAGATGTAAACTGGCAAGATGTTCTAATCTGTCCAGCCCCTCAAGACTTCTTATGGTGTTTGCAGCCTAAGAATGATTTAGCTAAGTTAATAATGACATTATTGATTTACAACTCTAAAACTGATGATGATGATAATAGCAGTGATAATAATAAAACAACAATGTAATAATAACAAAAATAATACTAATTTTAAAAACAATGATGAATCTATTTTGAAAAAGAGAAGAATTATCTAAAGTATATGAAATGGATGAAATTTAATTGCCAGTTAAATACAGTAGGTTACTATATTTTGAGTATCATTTTTTGTCAAGGTTTCATGTAATTAAATGACTTTAAAAAATTTATTTCATTAAAAGAAGAAAACATCATATTTAAGGCAATACTAGCCTAAGAATGAATGGAATTATAGTTAAAGAGAATTAAAATAGATTGTAAATGAGAAACTTGAAAATTTTAGAAATTCTAAAATTATGTATTATATTTTACAAGATGAAGGATGAATCTGTAAGGACATAAATTATATCTCATCGGACATTTTGTTGTGTAGTATGGCTGGGTATCTTTACAAGCTATACTATCATTTTGATGAGCTTACAATGGTTAAGTCAATTGTGGGTAGATCGAGCATGTTGTGCCGATAATTGTTTGATCCAAAATGCAAAGCTTACACAAAACAACTTGGTGATTTTCATGTACCTAGTAATGTTTATCTAGCAAAATAAGCAGTATTCTTGAGTGTATAAGGAAGATGATATTAAGTGACTGTGCAAGTGTATTTATTGATATGTGCAAGTTGGTTCATTACATGTACGAGTTGGTTCATTTTTGTGTGCAAGTTAGTTTGTGCGTGAGTTGACCAGCTACCCTTTATTTGATGCACATTTCTTGTAAAGCAGAGAAAGAAGGGTAGCATGTACAGGTGACTGGTTAAACAGTTTTTTTTTTACAAATATTATACAAACTAAATAATTTGAATATATGTATATCAACAAAGTTGAAATGATAAATTGGCCACAGTTACGATTATAAAGGCTGATGTTTCGAGCATTAGCCCTTTGTCGGAGCGAATAGAAGAATTGTGGGGTGTGGGTACTTTTAAAGGCAGAAAATGGAGTTACGTCATTGGTGGGAACATGGCAACGAGAAAAACTAATTTATTCGTGTTTTTCTTGTTGCCATGTTCCCACCAATGATGTAGTTCCATTTTCTGCCTTTAAAAGCACACACAACCCACAATTCCTTTATTTGCTCCGACGAAGGGCTAATGCTTGAAACGTAAGCTTTTATAATCGTAACGGTGGCCAATTTACCATTTCAACTTTGTATATTCAAATTATTTCATTACCCCCACCGACGCAGCCCCAAACTACTAATCAACTTTCCAATCATTGCCTGATATTTGTAATTGAATTGCGCAATATTTGTACTCTGCTTAGTAGAGTTGGATAATAATGCTCCTTTCACTCTCATAAGCATAACAATTAACAGAGCTTTAAAGTCATTTCGGGACCAAAAATGTGTATAGAACATTAAATCTTACCAAGTATAACTCCTTTAGGTTAGGAAGACTTGACAGTCCCATGGTGGTCATGAGTTTATTACCACGTAGCTCCATTACCCTGAGTCTGCCCAACTTGATTGGATCAAAGCCTGTTATTTCTACTATCTCATTGACTAGTTCAGGGTTAAAGAACATGACAGTACATAAGTCCAACTAATTTCACATTGTCTCCTTAAAGGTAAAAATGGTCTGATCCTCTCCCTCAGATGCCATATTGACTGTAAAACTGTATATTTCTTGATTATTTGTAGTTCCAAAAAAGTTATTGAGAACAAAACTTTAAAAGAATTCCTTGACAAAAAGGGAAGCAAAAATCACAGCAACCCTTGACATCCCATCATCCTTAGGGGCCAAAGAGTTAGAAATATCCATGCATGTTTACAAGCATGTTCAAATTATCAAGTCATCGGGAGTAAAATTAATTTAATTTCCAAACAGCATACAATGTACATGAAACATAATGCTATATAATCAAATGATGACGAATAAAAGGGTTTTATTTGAAAGGTGAATTATACCTGCATTTGATTAGTTCCTTTATCTAAATTGTTCCATTGGAGGACAGTCGCAAAGAGGAAATTACTACGAAGAACATTTTGCTTTATATATTATCATATAAATCAAATAGATTCCATGCTGTTGTACGTGTGTCTGTTCAGTGTTGTAGATCACAGATGATGTCAAAATGTTGTAAGAGCAACAGGATAGCACACTGAGCACAGCTGAGTGTGACACTGACATTCTTATTGCATTTTGTTAAATATAAAGACAATAGAAATAACTACTGACATAATTATGCACTCATTAATTTGTGGACAGAATGTAATTCTTCCAAGATTCATGTGCAAATACTTACATGATAAGTTTAAATGTTCTAACAAAGGATGGTTGATACCCTCTGTATCCATAATATTATTGTTAGTAAAACTTGCAATTTGTAGATATGGTAGCTGTGAAAAGATAAACATGAAAATTACAAAAGGTATTGTAACAAAATGCTCAGAATCATTTCAATGGAAACCACCAAATCCTCATATTTTTTATTTATTATTTTCATTACCAACCTCATCAAGTTTAGCTGAGTGCAAGGCATTCCTGTCTGCTTTCAGTGTAAGAAGGTGAGTTAATGAGTTAAGTGAAGAAATATCCTTTAACTGATTTCCACTGACATCCTGTAGGAAATTCAACCAAGACATTCCTTTAGATGCAGGCACTTAGCCATATTAAGTATATTCCAACAACTGCAAGTACAAAATTTCAAAGAACAAAAAACTTATGAGAATAGCTATTGCTTACCACATATCTCAAATGAATAAAGCAGTTGAGTATACTGATATCTGTCAGCTCCCTGTAGGAAAACAAATATTGAGTGTCAAGTTTCAATTATAATTTTCTGCAATGTCAAATGCACCATACTTTTGACAATGCTGATCTTGAAGCATACAGAACACTCGTCACATGTTGACATAGTGTATAAGTTAGCTTACCACAGAGTTCAGTGTCTCTCAGTGGTAGGGATTCAGCTGTAAAAAATTTGGAAGTCTGGGATTCAATTCCTCCTGAGGGATTTTTCTTTGTGTATATACTCATAAGAAAAATAATTAACCTTTCTCTCATATTTTGCTATTTAGTTTTTGTCAGCCGTAAAGGGTGCTCTCTATTGTTTGTAACTGCAAAGCCAGAGCAGTCAATTAAAAAAGGTGATACCTAATGTTTGTGATGATTCTCTGTAAAATTGTATCAGTGTGGGTAGACATTTCTGATAAACCACAGAATTATCTGTTAAGTGGACAAGTCTGATCTGCCAGTTGTGATAAATTGTTAGCATTCGTAGATTAAAAACCTTCAACTTTCGTAAGTGATGGACCTGCAGTTTCTCCTTGCACTAATATATTGGTAAAATATTATGCAAGCAATGTGTAGAGAACAGTATGGAGAATATGCATATATGTATCGACGTCGTTTGGAAATAAAGTGTGAGGATCGACTTACTTTTCGTGAACGTCAAGTCTTACATATGCATGTGCCAATCCATCTCCCGTTTTACACAACAAAGAAAGACTGTCAGCTAAAATTTCCTCCGTCAGAGGATTCTCTGGAGGTTTCTAAAATCACAAGAACATCCGTTCAAAATCACGCCAAAATGTGAGAAGATTTGAAAAATGCATCTTAGCAGCTCGATAGGTGTAATGAGTTGTCTTGACCCACTTTCATTTTGGCAAATTGGAAGTAGAGCAAACAAGAGAAATTAGAGGAAATGTTTTGCGAGCAAACTACCTCCTCCTCTTCGGTTCCTTCCTCATCATTTTCGTCATCTAACACTGGTTCATCGACTCCCTCCTCGTCTTCGAAGTCCGACATTTTGCTTCCCGGCCTTTGAATGTACAATGTCGCTTAGCAACAGGAATGACACCTTGGTTTGAGTTTCGTCAAGAGTCTGGATACTAGCTTATTAAAAAAATGGCGGCACATATTCCCGCAATCTCCAATATTTCTTAGCAGTTGTAGAGAAGTTGTGAATTTTGTTTCTTCGACTTTTTTGCACTATGGCCACACTTAATTTGGGAGGAAATGCTTCAAAAAGGAAGAAAGATTCATTAAAAGACTTTAAAGGCGATTGGAGCGGCCACGTAAGTTCTCAAAGTGCAAAATTATCTCATTTTTGGGTTCTGTCCTGGTGTACCGGTTCACAAGGGAATTACCATTGTTCTTTCTTTGTTTAGGAGTCATTGGTTAGCTGTTGTGTATTGTTCGGTCTTTTGTATCGGCTCTTGTGAACCGGTACACGAGGACAGAACCCATTTTTGCGGAGAAAAGAAAACTGTCATTTTGGAAAGAGTTCCATGTAACCCCATACATTAATTATGCATTCTATTTCATAAAGAATAAATATAAAGGTTTCTTTGCAACACTGCATGCATAATTAATGTTGGGGTTATGTGGAACTCCTGCCGTAACTTGGGGTGTTATCACCTCCATGTCTATGCCCAAGATTCTTCGGGCAAAGATTTCCGTATAACCGTTTTAAAACGAAGCATAAGTTAAAGGTAAACTATCGTTTCTCCATATTTTCCTTTTGTCAACTAACTGTATACATAAATGAAGAATGGGGTTATACGGAAATCTTACCAAAGTTACCCTTTTGATACACCAATGCAATTGAATGAAGAAAGATGTTTTTTTTTTTCGACTTGTCACAAGCGTGGACGAAGAAAATATTATTACTCCCCAATTAAGGAATCCGAAAGTGGAGGTTTGATTCCTAATGAGGATCGACTTAAAATATTTCTGCTAGAATTCTATAGGGGAATCCTTGTTTACAATATTTGCCTCATTAGCATAAGCAATTCAGTTTCTGATGGAGCTAAATATAAATCAGTTCTGAATATCGAAAGGTCAAAGTACGATTAACTCGGCCAATGAATACGAGCCAGATGCATTGAATACTTTTTGTGCGACACGGGTTTAAAAACTCAAAATTTTATATAGAATGTATGACCTCATTAGCGCTTTTGCCACCCAGAAATTTTGCAGTTTTTGATGGATTATTTCTCCTTGAATATTACACCCAAAGAGCTAAAAATTTCACCATGTACTAAGGTTTTCGAGCTCTTTAGCTGCCTGAAGTCAATTTGTATCTAACATGCTTCCTTCGTTACTCAAAGCGGTATGCAAATGAGCAAAAATGTAAACAATGATGTCAGCATGAATCCGCCTATAGGAGGAGGGTGAATTCAATGCTAGGAATGGTATTAAAAGCTGTTTAGGCTGGGTGAAAAGCGAGTGTTTTAGTATGTAAATGTATCTTTATTCAGATGTGAAGTTTTTTTTTTTTCATTGTATCGTTAATGCTGAAAACATTTAGGGCGAGTATATGCAAGTGAAGGTACAGAAACTAGATGTTCAGTTTAAAGAGGATATTGGTCCAAAAGGGTGCCAAGATGTGTAAGTTATAATTTATTTTTTCAATTATTATTATTGTTTTTAATTTTTACAAAATCTGAAATCTTATGTTAATATAATTTTACTGTTTACTTGAAACAATATATACACAATCATGTAATACTTGTACCAAACTGTAAAATATTTTTGTTGGAGAGGTGTTTGATTATGTGCAAACCAGGAAATGAAATTTCAACTATTTAAGTCCATTAGTTATTTTAAAATGATTCTTATTTGATTAATAATTATGGATAAACAATAAAGTCTCTCAAATTCTCTCAACCCTCCAATTGTACAAATGAGGCTGTGTAACCACAGTACTTTATTGTTTCTGCAAAATATTATATCATCCCTGCAAAATAATTCTGCAAAATATTGTATCATCCCTTGCTGGATGTCCCATCTCCTTACACATCATTTGCTCTTTCTATTCTGGCATGGATCACTGGTGACAGGTAAAACAGTGTCAAATGGCTTGCTCTAATATGATTGGACAACCTCCTTCACAGGCGTGAAATGCATCTATGTGAACAAACTCCAACATTCTGAAAAATTTCAAATCGCTTTAAAGGTGAATCTGCCTGTGTCGACCATTCACTTGTGTTATTCTTGGCTCACAGCTCCAATAGGAAAAAGTTCTTAATTCAGTAGTTGTTTATACAGGAATTAATCATATTTGGATTATTGAATAGTTCATAATTCAAAGAACTCTTGCATTTTCCATTACAGCAATGATGCACTACAGTAGCCTTACTGTGATTACAGCTGCATGCAGGACTATACATTTTCATCTTACTATAGAGTAATTTCAACTACTGCTTTGACTACTACTGATTTCCTTTATCTAAGAATTATTATTGATTAATACATTGAAACAAATTTTTTTGTAGCAATGCTCCAAAGATCTTTGAGAAAGTGGTTATTCATATCAATGGATACACAGGTGATTCTAATGTTTATACAAACGCAGTAACTAACTATTTATTTTTGGAGTATTAATTTTTGCTATACCAATCTTTAAGGGCAAGTTTTCTTTTTGTTTTTCTGGTATGCATCAAAGCGGTTATTCATAGTCGTACACTGCAAAAAGTCCACCGGAAATTGCTTACATCATCATACTTCGAAATAAAGTGCATTCCAATTGATGGAAACAAAGCCAAAACCAAAGTGAATTACAAAAAACAATCAGGGAGAAGGAAAATATCACAAGATACCAATTAGAATGCAAAATGAAAGTAAGTGCAGTAATCCTAGAATGTGGAAAAAACACAACTTTAATACGATTTTTGAATCTGATTGGCTGGGAGTATCATCCCTTGCTGGATGTCCCATCTCCTTACACATCATTTGCTCTTTTTATT